GTGAATTATCAGCTCAGGTTTATCTTTCACATGTTACATAAGTGATTCATAAAAGCTCAGTGCAAGAAAGGCTAAATACAAATCCGTCCCCGACTTCCTTTAACTTTATAAAGACAAATGTTTTTTCAGCGTTAAGGGTTTGCTCTCCTAAAGTTTATATATATATCCAAAATAATCTCCTACCAATCTCACAGAAACTGTGTTGTTGAAACAATGCACTGATAGCATTAATGCAGTGAGTTGCTTTGTGAAAATCAATCACAATAAAGCAGGAAACAGTCGCTCAACGAGGAAAGTGAAATATGATGCTGGATATAGATTTAAAATCCCCGTCCACTCAAATATGTTTTCCTTCTTGCTCCTACAGCTGGTTGCTTCACTGTGCTGAATGATGTATGTGCAGAGTTTGACAGTAGAAGGAGGTTTTCACATTCATCTGCTGAAAGTGGAAAGTTTCTCTGAGCTCATTGATAATCAGATTTTAACTACGAGCATTATTTGTGACGTTGCAAATAGTTTGGAAGTCAAGCCTGGTCCAGTGTGCAAGTGCGTGAAACTTGAAGTCACCACTGCACGTACACCGAGAATGCATTTACAGAGACATCTTGTGTCTAGTTGGAAAACTTTAGATAATGTGCATAATCATAGTCATTTTTTTGAGGTAGAAGGACATTATTGTTCCATCAGACTTTATGTTGTAATACGTGTCTAGAGAAAGACCAGTTTCATTAGATTTAATGTTTTATCATATAGTATAAAAGAGAGAGAATAGAAGTCTTACAACCTCAGAAAGTCAAACTGAAACCAACTGCATGTTCAGTGGCAGCAGTGAAAAATATTCCTTTTTTAGAGTTGAATGAAATAGATTTTTAAATGACTCATTGAGAAGGACTCGGTGAACTCCAGCCGCACTCTAGCGCCTCGATTGTGGAACAGAAACAAAGTCAAAACTGTGTGTTACCCACAAGTGCAGTGACCTAGATAGCGTGAGTGTGTGTTATGTGGAGGGAGCTGCGGGCTTCGATAGGGCGGCAGTAAAAAGGATCCACCCATCCACATGTTCTCACTGTTGCTCCCCGACACTCAGACACACACACATTACATAAATACATCACATGTAGCAGACAGATGGATGCTATGTAACTGTTTCTGTTAGTGAGTAATATGATCTCACTCGCGGTGTTTACACAATGACGACTGGATGTAGGGCATACACAGAGAGAGGGAGGATTGTAGGGGGGGGAGGGAGGCAGAGACAGAGAGGTGTTGCATAATTCTGAGCTCCTCTGACATGTGCGTAGCTGCCTGAGCCAAGTCAGTAGGACACACTGAAACATGTTGACACCGTTACCGAAGCGGTTATAAAAGGTTAACCTGGTTTAGGCTGCGTTAGCCGGCTTCACGTGCTCCCTGAAGTAACAGAATAATCCACACAGGTCACTGCCAGCTGCTTTCAATGGAAACTGTTCTCTACATCTTTATTAAAACGCTTTAAAACCCCCACTGTTGAAATTCCTTTTACATCCATTGTGTTTTGATGGAGGCGTTACCCTAAGTGACTGGTCTTTAAACCTCAGTAATTAAACTCCTATTCACATACATATTTTTTTACTTTTGGTCTGCTGTTAATGCCCTGATTAAAATCTCAGTTTATTATTATGTCTTAAAAGGTCCAGTGTGTAACATTTAGGAGGTATGTTTTCATTAGTGTATAATCACCTGAATATAAGAATCTTTGGATCTATCCGTTTTTTAATCTACAGACATCGCAGGTCGCTCCATGGAGGCCGCCACGTTTCTGTGTAACTTACAATTTCAATTATAGAAAGAATAACTTAAAAAAGTTTGTTTAGTTTCAGGTATCTCCTGTTAAACAAAAGCTGTGTCACTCTTTTTCCCTCAGCAGTGAGAAATGACAGAAACCGGACGAAGGGGAAGAAGGAAGAGGTGAAGATGACCATCATGGAGACGTACGAATTGACGGCGGAGCTCGGCTTGATAGTGGAGAAGATCTGCAGGGCTCACAGAGAGACCTTCCCCTCTCTCTGCCAGCTGGGAAAATACACCACAGTGAGTTGCGCCATGAGACCTGACTGTTCAGAATCAGAAAGCAGAGAGGAAAGATCAAAGCTGTCCTCTAAGACCAGTGATGGAATTAATTTAGATTGTGCATTTTATGGAGAGAAGCTGAAGGACAACAAGAATTTTAAAGGTTATTTTACATTTTGGCTGCCAATAGAAGATATAACATAAAAAGAAATGTGCATGTAAGCTGCTAAACTGTCCCAAAACTAAATCAATTAAACACTGCTGTGTAAGGCAAGTTATTAATCTACAAAAGATATATATATATATATGTATGTATATATATCTTTAGGAGGACCTTGGAAGTAGTTACGGCGCAACGCTGGAAACCAAGATGTTGGACAGATCAACAGACATTATTGTTTCATCAGTCGTAACAAATGTCTAGAGGGGATCTTTAAGAGTAAATATCATTAAGTGTGACTTTGGACGGACCAACAGAGAGCCATGATGCATGTCTCAAACCTCAGCAGTAAGATCAGGAAAGGAAAAGCACATAGTGTTCTTCATGCAAACTGTGACTCATGTGCACCGTAATAAACAGGAATAACTGCGCGTTCATTTCGTAAGAAAAAAAAAACCTGAAAGTTTTCCCGTGTAACACAACAGAGTGTAAAGTACACCTGGTGTAAAATGTGAGGGTGTGTTTTTCACATTTTGTTTGTGGTTTGGTTAGTCAGCAGAAGTGATGAATGAAGTATGAGTAAAATCAGGAAATACAGAAGGAGTAACAAACTGACTGACTCATTGTTCTGTTGAATAAAGAAAACTTCCTGGTTTGGGGCGTAATTAGAAAATGTGACTGATGAACACTGTGGAAACCTAAACCTGTCTGAATTAAATGCTTAAAAAAGGAAATCTTAAATACCTGCAGAGGTCGTAGTTGTTGTCAAGTTAATGTCTGTACTTTGCTACTTTGCATTTATGATCAAATCAAATTACTATGCTTATGAGACAAGTTTCAATCGCAATGACAAGCCCTCGACTCTGCAGTGCTACAGCTCAGCGCTCTCATTGACTGGTTGCAGGATGCATCTCTAAAAATCCACTTTATGCTGCCTGCCCAGCACCGAGCAGCAGACACACAGAACCACCCAGTCAACACAGTGGAGCATGGAGCAGCTATAGTAAAGACAGATATGGTAAAATACAGGAGGTGAACAAACAGAAACAGCTGAAAGTAAACATCATGGCGGCTTTTGTTGTTGTCAGAGTTAGATTATCATTGTGTGGTAAACCAGTCAACAGCTGAAGGAAAATGATCCATTATGACACCATAAAAACATGTTTTCCTGGTTGATTATAAGTTATATTTATAACCATATCATCATTTTATTGTCTTTAATGTGTTTTTCTTCATCTTCTCTCCTGCACCCAGAACTCCAGCTCAGACCACAGGATCCAGCTGGACCTCGGGCTGTGGGACAAGTTCAGCGAGCTCGCCACCAAGTGCATCATGAAGGTGGTGGAGTTTGCCAAGCGTGTGCCTGGTTTCACCGGCCTGACCATCGCTGACCAGATCACTCTGCTCAAAACTGCCTGTCTGGACATCCTGGTACGTCTAAAACAACTTTCTACTCTAAAAAACTTAGTGAGGAATCAGTTATTGAGCTGTAAATAGTTTTATTTTTTAAACTGGGTGGGGCCAACACTTAAACGCACACACCCAGCTCACCTACTGCGATTCATCTCACACCTTCTGTGGATCTTGACTCACGTTGTCAGCCGCACTCGTGCCAAAGACAAACTGACAGGCAGGCTGGCAGACAGACAGCGCCCTGAGGCAGACTGTCACATGTTTCACTCTCCTTTATCCTCCCTACTTCTCCACCATCATTCACTGCCAAGTCTGTCTGTCATCATCACCATCAGGGCCTGATCAGTCGCTCTGCTCTCTGATAGCACCAGGGGAGTGTACCATGTACGATCAAAAGCTCTGTCGCGTTTCATTTTTGCAGATTTTATTCTGATGAAGTGTTCGGGGAGTTTTGTTTGCCAAGTTCTGCTTATCTGGTCTTTTGCCACTCTGTTAATCATGTTACACTGCAGTATAAACAGTCCAGTGGGCCATGCATGTGTTCCTGAACATTTGTATTAATGTAATTCATCAAGGGCCGTGCCGAGTAATCAAAATTAATTAAAGTGTAAATCAGCATTAAGTTTAGATTGATGTTTAAATGGCCCTGCCTGAATGTGAAGTCTCAAATGTGATTTACAATTAGACACATTACACATACCAAAACAGCTTCTAACAGGAAAAGGCTGACAAAGCTAAAAGTCATGCTAGAACAGAATCTAGACACAGAAGTGCTTTGTTATGAGCATACTCATAACAAAGGTCATAAACCAAAGTATTGGAACAGATGTGGGAAGTTTTACGTTTGCATGACGAGCAAACGGCGGAAATATCAACTTATCAAAGCAAACAGGTGCCGATCAGAAAACAGGAAGCCATCTTTCTAATATATTACACACTATACTTATTAAACAGTTAGAAATGATGAACAGTCTCATGTAAAAGCTTGGCCCTCTCTGCAGTGGAGGCTAAAAAAAGTGAGAATCTACAGTACAAATTAATTGAAAACAAACATCTGATGTCTGCTGGGTGGAGTACATTCACCTGTCTTTTGTTAATTTAATTTAATCTGTTTTCCTTGAATTTGATAAAAATGAAATGTACAAGATAATGAAATGGAGAAGCACACTTGGGTACAAACATGACGTCAAAGCGTGATTTAAAAATACATCTAGAACAAACACGGGCGGTCATTTAAATATGTTTCAGAGCTTCCCTGTGGCTTCTTCTGTCCAATATTATAATAATGTGAGCACTCAATCGTGGGAGTATCACAACCTGAACTCCATATTTATTAAACCCTCCTCTTCCTGACTCTGTTCTTCTTCCATCCAGATCTTGAGGATTTGCACTCGCTACACTCCAGACCAGGACACCATGACCTTTTCCGACGGACTGACGCTGACTCGCACTCAGATCCACAACGCCGGATTTGGACCGCTGACGGATCAGGTGTTCACGTTTGCCGGCCAGCTGCTGCCGCTGCAGATGGACGACACAGAGAGCGGCCTCCTCAGCGCCATCTGTCTCGTCTCTGGAGGTACTGAAGCTCAGGAGAAAGTCCAACCTGAGAACAGCTGTTACATAAACCAACTAGTGAACTATCAAGTATTCCTTTAACATTATTATTCACTCCTGGAAAGGAAACGTTAAAATGTTTAATGTTTAAATTTGTCTTTTCCGTCTGTCTGAGCAGACCGTCAGGACCTGGAGGAGCCATCTAAGGTGGAGGTGCTGCAGGAGCCTCTGCTGGAGGCGCTGAAGATTTACTCCCGCAAACGACGGCCCAGTATGCCCCTCATGTTCCCCAAGGCCCTCATGAAGATCACTGACCTGCGCAGCATCAGCGCCAAAGGTCAGAAAACACTGCGCTGCCCGATAATTCCCCATAAAGTTCCTCAAATTATTGTATAATAACTACTATAACTACTTGCAGAATCATTTAAGTGAGAGAAACTTAAATTAAAGCAAGATTATGTAACATTTGACTGAAGAAAACTGAAGACTATTATCCTATAAAAGTAGTAAAACACGGTTCAGTACACTCAAGGGTTTTATTGCTACAGCCTTACTTTGTCTGCTATGACCAGTAGCTTATATTTGTTATTATGGGACATCACTGAGCCCCTCATGTGACTTTATTATTCTTCCAGTCGTACTACTGTTACACTACATTTTAGCATTCCCCATCATTCTGTAATTACCACTTATGACCACAATAGCTGCTGTTCAGCAAAAGTTAACACTGCCTGTGAGGTTGTTTGAGGTCAGTTCATCTTCTCTCAAAAAGCAGGTTCGTACTGCTCCTTGTGGTTCCTGTGAGGAACTGCACTGCAGCAGAGTTAATCCACTGAGTTTATCTGTTCAGTGGTATATAAACTCCACATTTATAAAAGACATATGGCTGTTTTAATGGTTTTTCACATATTTATCTAAAATGTTATCAGTAATCAAAAGTTAAATAGGATTTATTTAAAGGAAAACTCCTATTCACTATTAGCTTGGAGACCTGTGTACACAGCAGACGACACTGCCTGTACATTTCCAACCAGCAGTATCAGCAGCTTTGTAGCAAAGACAATGAGAGCAAAGACATCGACTCAGGAAGTGTGTAGGTTAAAAACAGTCTCCCATCAAGATAGAAAGATGCTTTGAGAAAGAGATCAGATTATAGTTTGTTACAACTTGCCAGAATTATATATATATTATATAACGCTGTTCTTTCTTGGATACCTGCTCCCTTCACTACTGCATTCAGTGTGTAAGTCTGAGTCTAGTAGCTCTAATCCTCAGTGACAGATCTGTGACAGTAGGATGGTAACACATCATCTAATAACCTAATAACACTATCCACAGGAGCTGAGAGGGTGGTGACGCTGAAGATGGAGATCCCGGGCTCAATGCCCCCACTGATCGAGGAGATGCTGGAGGATCTGCAGAACCTGGAGAAACACTCGGAGGAGGAGCAGAACTCGAGCACGCACACGAACACAGCTTCTCTCAACAGCACATGAACGCCTCTGACTTCTTACACTGAAGCCGCTCAACGAACATTGGCTCCCGTCCTCCCCTCCCAGAGAAGACACTAAACAGTATAAACTCCAGATGCAGTCAGTGTCTTACCTCAGTGGTTGGAGAACTGTCAGTGCACGCTCGCTGTGTTTAAAGACAGTTACGCTGATGAAAGATGAGCTAATTTCTGAGTTTGAGTTCTGCTTCAAAAGGGGGAAAAAAGAGAGAATGATGCAGTAATGTTTTAATCACAAATGTTAACCCCTCCTGGCAGACGCCTCATAACCACTGGGAATAACTCCCCCAGCAACTTCTGCTGTATTTATACATTCATGAGATATCACATGGATTAATTTTTACCTCATTAAATAACAATGCATTTAGCATTAGAGTAGCAAAGTTAGTAAAAACAAACATATGGACTTTTTTACATACTACATATACTATATACTACGTTCACTTCTCAACGTCTACTGTTTGTACACAATTTATTGACGCCCACATGTGTAAAAAGAAAGCTCTGGACTAACTTTTGGAACACATTTTAGAGAAGTAAGCAGATTTATCTGCTCAAAAGGGAAATGTAAATGCAAAAACTTGATGTTTTTACTCATAAAGATGAATGTTCATAACTAGCATTAACAAAGTTCACAAACGTATATAGCTGTGGACGTAACCGTGCTAGCTGTTTCCCTCCCGTTTCCAGTCTTTGTGCTAAGCTAAGTTAACCGGCTGCTGGCTCCAGCTTTATATCAAACGGACAGACATAAAAGTGGGATAAATCTACTCCGCCCACTCTCGGCAAGAATGTGAATAACTGTTGTTGCTAAATGGGTGTCAGGGTTCAGAGTCAAACCCTTTCTTAGTGCAGAGGCGGATCTAGAGAAATATTAATGGGGGGGCAGAAATATAGGCTGATTTAATCACAAAAAATCACATGAATAAAATTATAAAAGCTCAAAACACTCAAAAACATGACATTATTGTGGCACATTAGTAAAGCATTTAATAGAAATATCTAAAGGTGACATTAGAAATCAGTACGTTGTTTCCAAATCTTCAGACATTTCTCCAAATGCATGTCTTCTTTCATTGAACTTGAGCCTATCACTGAGTCTTAACATGTTATCCTTAAAATTAATCTAAATGAATGTGTTAAATTTGACAGCTTTTGACACCAAACTGTGGCGTCCAGGTGGTGTCCGCCCCTCTACATCCGCCCCTGCAGCTGTGGTACATTTTGCTGGAAATCTGCGTAAATGATTTGCAGTATCAAACCTGTTTGTACAGTGTAAGTGAGCCAATACACACCTTAATACTTTCACACATATCCTAAAAGTTTGAATCCCAGGCGGCATTAAACTGTACATTGTTTGAAATGGTCAGTTTTCAGTGTGAAAAGATCTTTTTTACCGTACTATGATGAGCTCTGTAAAGACATGTTTTCTACATAAAAACTGCATCAGTGTTTGATATCACCTTCTTACAGATATACGTACATAAATTTTACCTAAATAAAATATACTGTACTGTAGAAATAATACTAATAATAAAGAAAACAGAGAAATAAAAAAAAAGAATGTGCAACAGGAAGAAAATGGTCAAATGTTTGATGGTTGAAACAAAAGGATGTTGTTTCAGTGTATGAAATATCCGCTGTAAGGGGCTAATCAAGCTGCCTGTGTACTGTTAAAACTCATGTGCCTACTGTTAATGTGCCAAAATCCTCCATATCATTGATCAACCAGGACCAGAGCACATTTCTTATTATTTCCGTTGATCTATTAAAGTCTTGTCTACTGGATTTCACTTTGCTGTCTCATGTTTCCACTGAAGCTTCTGGTTTTTGTTGTTCCTGAGTCAACGCAGCGGGATATGTTTCATGTGGAGGAGCTGTGAGGTTGTTTGAGGTCAGTTCATCTTGTCTCAAAAAGCAGGTTCGTACTGCCCCCTGTGGTTCCTGTGAGGAACTGCATTGCAGCACAGTTAATCCACTGAGTTTATCTGTTCAGTGGTACATAAACTCCACATTTATTTAGAAGACGTGGCTGTTTTAATGGTTTTTCACATATTTATCTAAAATGTCATCAGTAAGGAGGTTTCTGCTGCCAAATGAGCAAAAATAGGACAGATGACAACATATGTAGATGATTTCTGTGCACAGACATAAGAAAATGTGTAAATAGCAGATAATAAACAGCATTTTGATTCTGACTGTCCAGCTTCTTGGAAATGAAACTCTCTTTGCAGTTGAACCTCCCTCACTACCAGAGGAATAGATCACATTTACTTAAGTACAGTACTCCATTTCAAAAATACTTTTATTTTACTCCAGCAACACTTCAGATGGAGATATTGTACTTTTACTGACAGCTGTTACTTTTCACATTAAAATATTACAGTTAACATAAGTGATGATTTACTTTACAGCCTAAAAGTTACTGTGTAATTATTTAATGTGTACAGGGCATCAGTAAAATACTTATTGGTCACCTTTATATACTGTAGGTACAAGGGAAGAAGATCTAGAAATAAATCCCACTGAAAGTATTTTTTTAAGGTGTGAATGAGTATCTATGTGATGTCTTCAGGGTACAGTAGTATTTTTACTGGGTAACAAGGCAGGACCAATAGGGATCTGTTACCCCCTTGTTATCCGCACCAGTAGGTATCCAGTATGTATTTCCATATATGTACAACATATTTACACTTAAACTTGTGGGCTGCAAGCTAAAGAGTTACAGATAAGCTTATAAAACACAAGACATTTTGGCTTGTTGTGACCCCTAATATAAAACCAGTATCTCATTGGGGCCCCTTGTTATGTTTCAGCTGTTCCACCAATAAAATGACTTCTCAGATGGTTCAATTTAAATAAGAGGTTAAATTACACAACTTTCACACACACCACATCAATCATTTCACAACCCCTCAGATTTGTCTTGTGACTCCTCGGAGGAGCCCGAGCAGTGATGCACAACTCTAATAATATCATATATATCAGTCGCAAAGGGACATTTTAATGCAGAATGAGTACTTTTACTTTTGATACTATAAGTACATTTAGCTAATAATACTTCTCTACTTTTGTTAAGTATTTTTACATTATTGTGTGCTGTTATTATTTAAAAACTTCCACCACTACACACTATATCTGCTCATGTTCAGGGTGGACTTTCCTCAGAGTGCAGCAAACAATTGATCACAACTGGACATCATCTGCATTGAATAGTGTTTATTTATCATTTTAACATAGTTATTCCTCATACAGATGATACTGATTAATCAAAGTGCAGAAGATAGCATACCTCCAGCTGCTCTTCACTCTTCAAAGTGACAATGTACACAGAATTTTATACAAAAAGTATATTTCAGGTGTTAATTATTTTGAAAGTGCATGTTAACATAGTTCAAGTACAGAAGAAAAAGTGGGAGAAATCTAAACATCTGACCTGGTTTTCTCTGTATGTCAGTAAGCTGCAGTCAGACATTATGATATGTTCGTAAGGTGATAATTGGGTTTCTTATCAGCTCTCTAAAAAGTGAATTAAATGAGTAAAATTGCTTTGCAGCTTTGGCTTGTAGCCATTGGAAACATACTGTGATGTGCAGTCCTGCAGTGAGGAGTTAAAACAGTCTGATCCTGACAATTTAAAGTGCTAAACTCAGACAAACCTGAAATAACAAAATATAAAAAGCTTCACACAAGCTAAAAATCCAAGGTACACCACAGAAAAAAAAAACCCACTTCGGATAATGTTGGAGGTTGTTTGCATGCAGGTTTCAGACCTGACAGAAATAACTATATTTACAACATTCATATACTGTGTGTCTGTGTACATGTATTAAATTATCTTTGGAGAATTCACAGTCACATCCAATGTGTACAAATAATCAGTGCCTGAGAACCAAAGAGGTTTGTGCTGTACATCAATTAATCAATTCATCGTAAAGTAACCAGCAACTATTGTTAAACATTTAATTAATTTTTTTAAAGTATATTTCCAGGATGAGGAGGATTTGCTGCTTTGTGAGAGCACGTTCAATATCTTTGGATTGTTGGTCAAATCGATTAATTGACAAAATAATCCCCAGATTAATCAATAATGACAATAATCGTTAGCTGCAGCCGTAGTGTGGTGACACATCAGCTTTGGTAACTTGTTACAGCAGCTTTATCACAACAATAACTGAGCTATTTTAGTTAGTAAGTACAAACATGTGTTTATAGCGTTTTCACATGTTCAATAATCACAAATAGTGTATAAACGATGGATTTTAA